ATATTTTTTATAGGGTAACCTAAAATCAAATCATTTTAAATCGCAAAGACCCACAAGTAGCATGCTTGAAATTCAAAAGTAGATCTTAGATTTCAAGTTGTGCAAAAATATGTTATCATAGTTGACCGCATACGTACATATTTACACGCATTTGATCATAAATTTGCTTGTATACAACAGGATCTGAAATTTGAATCCATAAAAACTTTTTTTATATAATAACTTCATTGTTGAACCCAAATATAAACTTTAGTCAAGGCAATGTATTTTCCTTGGAATAGCTTTATAGGCACAATATCGAGGTACTATACAGTAGCTATTAGGTTTTTAAGGCTAGGTCAACCACCTAATATTTAACTCATAAAAAAGCCATAGTACAAAATGTACGTAATATGTGTTAATTATATTTACTGCAGTTACTAATAGGTGAGTGAATGTTTTGTTAGGAGGTTGATGGATGGCACGGTAACACGGTCCAGTTATTATCTTCTCGCTTGTGGAGGTAATAGTCGTGCATGATTCAATAATGAAAAACATACCCCAACAAATCCAAATATATCTAAGGTTACATGAAGGATTTAAAACAGGCTGACCAGTTCCAAATTCCATTGCAAGACACGCAAACTTCCCATGAATCAATTGCTGCGTCTATATTGACTGACGAAAAATGTTCTTTGTCTGAAATGATACGATTTGACAAGCGAGATATTACCGGGGCGTTTCATGTCAAAAACAACTTGACGGCGTGTAGATTTAGAGCCCCATTTTCAGCCTGTGAGCCCTTGAAGCCTTCGTTACCAATAACGCATTCAAGGCTGAAAAAGGTCAGTGCCATTGTGTGGCTGCCATGTCGAGTTAACTTTGAACAGGACTCTACGAAATCATGATGGACATTATACTGTATGCTCATCCTTGATCTTTAGTACCGTTTATCGTAACTCAATGCTTTTGTATTTAAAGGCCTTAACCCTTAAAGTGTTCTACCCGGTCTTAACAAAGGCGATCAACTCCATACCAATTTTTCTATTGTTAACTAGGTGATTCAAGGCTTAACAACCCTCATCAACTTTCCACTCACGCACACTCAATTTTTCCAAAAACTTTCTCCTGAATCTAATTATAATTCCAAATGTACATCAACTCCAACCTGGGCAGGACATAAATAATGATTTCATGATTTATGATGTCAGAAGTGGACATAACGAAGACGTGGAGACTGGAGGCAGAATTCAGTGAATGGCTATCAAGTTAAAAATACCAAGGTTCGACCCCTTTGCCCCCAACATTTTTAAAAATTTACTGGGATTACTCCCAAGTTTGATAACATTTATAGTCAAGTCGATTGTCAGTGGTAATCCCATAATTGGGTTGACATGAGCGCCTTTTTGACGAGGACAAGTTTTGACTCTTTCATCCGCGTGACAGCCGGCGGATATGGAGTTGGCAAATGGACTGCGTGACCTGCAGTGGGACAGAGAAATATTCAAATTAGGCCCTCAGAAAAAGAGGCCTGATGATGTATAAAATTGAGTGAATGTTCAAAAATGTTAACTGATGACAGTGACATGAGGCAACAACACCACTCATTTTAACAATTGATTTATTTATATCAAAATTCATAATTATGAATTTATAATACGATATGTCTTTTTTACTGTACCTTTTGTAAATTTTAAATTTTTACTGTGTTTATTTGTATTTTTGGTATTCAGCTATGATATAAATTTTTTTATTAATATAATCCATATAATTATTAATAATTTATATGTTTATATGAACTATATTTATATGATATTTTACCTTATTTTTATCAGATTTTAACTAGTATTAATGATTAGATAATAATCATATTAAAAGTTTCCATATTATAAAGTATAATAAAAAAATAAAATAAATAAAAAAATAAAATATATAAAATTTACTGTTTCATCATTAAAAAAATAAAGCCTTTATTCTCACCCTACAATTAAGCTTGTATTGTGAAAAGTTTATTGCTACAATTTCGTCAAAATATTTTTTTCATATTCCAACATCCACTTTGTACAAGTGGCACATAACAATACAGTACGTGGCTGAAAGCAAGCGTAAAGCCTTGTACTGACTAGCAAATTTTAGTTAACAAAAAACTATTGTATGCCCATATATAGTCAAGATGTGCCTATATATAGTAATGATGTGATGTCATCATGACCATATTTAGGCATGTCACATGTTTTTGTCTAATAAAATTTGATAGTCAGGACAAGGCTTTAGGCTATAGAATAGGTTTAGAGAAATTTAGCAGACAACAAAAAGATTTTATAGTACTGCCTCATTAGAATCCAGATATTTATCACACATTCCCACAAAATATGTTGTTTACCTTAACGACGTATGTCGCCCGTTGATTTGATAGTCACTTTAAATAACATGGGTTTTTTTCATGACTTTATAAAATTAGAAATAAATTTGAGGGTAATTTTGTTTCTTTTTTTTCTCCACCTGCACATCGCATCAAAAGACGCTGGCTGTAGATTTAATTGACAAAGATATTACATATGCCATTTAGACGATGACATCCATTCATTTTATATAAACTGTTAAACATATGTTTGCAGTTAGGTTTCTTAAACTTTAAATGTTGTAACCACTAAACAAGGTGAAACAAGACAATTTAGCTATGTACACCAATAAGGTACTGAATCAAGGACGGGTCAAGCTGAATTTACACAACCTACAGCCCATCATTCTCATCAAGGAAAATCTTAGCAGGGGTGAGAGACAATTTGTCAAAGTAATTTCCTCTTAAAGACTATCGACTAATGCTTTCCTAAACCTTTGAGAATGAATGTATCGCTAACTCTAGTCTGTGAGCCTTACGCCCTTTAACCCTTAGGTCAATTAAAACTAATATCTGCTCTCAAAGGCTGTGACATCAATAAAGAAGTAAACTAAAACTGCACCCAATTAAAATCAGAATCCCAAACCCAAATGATTAACAGTAAGGATGAATGCAAACTATCTCCACAAAATCACCATCAATTTTAAACTTTAAGTAGTTTTATAGGACAAGTCTGGTAATCTTTACTTTATTCAAACAAAATTAAGCTTTTAATATAAATAAAGGCTGTCCCACGAAAACAAATTCAAGGGAGAAGGGGTGATACTAGCAAATCCAACCTATACACATTTCAATGTGATTGTCATGCCTTTTTCACAATCCTAAAAGATTGATTAACACTCCCCGGGGCACAGATGATTTGGTACTAGTGCGGGCGGCTTTGTGTTCAAGAGTTGAATGCGCAATACGACGGGCTAATTTGCAAATGTTCTTTCTGGTATTGTAAATGTATATTCTCTTTATAGAAAGATGGTTATTTAAAGAATCGATGTGCACGTTAAAAATTGCAAAATAAAGTGAATATGATACTTTTCGCAAAAAGTAATTTGCATATGCAAATTTTTGGTTAATAAATGGATTCTGTAAATGGTTATAAAGGGTTTGGATTGATGGATTTCTATCCTTTGATTTCTTAATGGTGTTATCTAGGTGCAAGTTCAAATAGATTGATACAAGTTGACAACTCATTGATTTCTCTCTACTGACATTTGTTAAGAAATAATGCTATTTCCAACACAAGCACAACTAGTCTTAAGAATCACATTTTCCAGTTTAAAAGAAAACCTATGCTTAAAAAGCGGCCAAAGTACTGGCTCATATAATGATGATGATAGTCATATGAATGATAATAATGAGCATGAAATTTATTGTATTACTATAATGATGATGATGATAATTTTGATAATGATGATGGTAATTAAGGATGATGATGCTATTAATAATGACAGCTAAATGATAATAAAATTTATGATGACTAGAATAATGATGATGATGACAATAACAATGACAATGATGATGATGAAGATGATGACGATGATGATGTTATGATGACAATGATACATGATGAGGATGATGATGATGACAATAACGATGATGATGATGGTCTGCCTAATGGTGATGGTGGTGATCATGATGATGAAGATTATGATGATGATGAAAATTATGATAATGATATTGGAACTATATTACAGAGTGAACACTCCTACAACCACCAATGGTGGTGGCAGCAATAAGTATAATGATGTGATTATGATGAATTGATCATACAGTAGGAGGCTTTAATGAAGAAAATTTGTTGATAAAATGAAATAATACTGGTAGTGCTAATGCATATTATTATTATTATTATTAATTTATATTATTATTATTATTATTATTATTAAGAATACATACCTTCATCAACATTTGACCATTTCATACATGTGTTTTTGATATACAGTAATCTTTCTATGTTGTGTAGTTATCACAAAGTTACATGAGTACTTAAAAGTCGAATAAAAGTTCTGTTCTAATGACATATTACATATTAACGTAATAATAATGACATATTTCATATTACACAAAACAGAAAAAATATTTTAAAATAATTACAAAAAGTGGACGGACGAAACATATTAAAATAATTATGAAAATTAATTTAATTATAATAAGACATGCGGCATTTATTTTATTATACTTAATGATGATACAATGACTGCTTCATATGAATATACACGTATAGGCTGCGGATTTGTTAATGCATAAATAAAATATGATACGATTAAACGGTTGCTAGGCATATGTCATTCGCAGTCAACGTATCATCGACAAAGTGTCCCTCAAAAACGAGCAGAGGGCCTCTGCGTGTTAATGATTCATACGCTTGTTTTACTATTACACATGCCAAACATGGAACACTTGTGTACTATGTATATCAGCGATATTATGATAAGAAATTTTCGATGAACGTTATATTACAATCAAAATGACCTACAAACAGAAGATCACAATATGTTCCAACAATCTACGGGCGAAAAAAAAACCTGATCATGTTACATGTATTTTAATCTGATATGAAATTAAATTGAGGAAGTAATTAAAATCATGACCCTGGTTTAATAATATTGTCGCATTATTTTAGTTTCTTTCAGAAAAGGTAACCGATATGATACGTTATTAAAAAGTTTTCTAGAACTCTTACCGTAGGACAACCCTGTGTACGTGAATTCTGAAGGTATTCTCTAAAATCATATACCATAAAAAAAATATGTTAACGACAATACACAGCAAGGACAACAAAAAATACCACAAAAATTAAGCCAAGCTACGTGATCACTAACTCTGTTAGTTTTTATGGTTGAATATTTCTTGTATATTTTTAAAAATGGTTAATAAATTCAGAAAATTGCCTTAATTTTTTTTACTGCAGAAGGCTATGTCTATAAATGACTGCTACGTGATGTATGTGATCTGTGGCCTATGCAAGTGTAATGGACAAGACTCTACTCAGCTCATGAAAACAACATCCGAACTGTCGGAAACAAGAACATGTTAACGGTACTTCTACAAAAGACAAGGAATCACCAGAAGGGGTTTAGTTGACAATTTGGGTAAAGATCTTTTAAGATAAATTCAACGATGTTAAATCGTTTTAACAATTTATTTCTAAAGACAGTGAATATTGAATAGTTGTCAGATCTATAAAATGTTTGTAAAGCTGTCATTTAAAATATGGCAGAAAACATTAATATATATTCTTTTTAACTAGATACAACCTGTGATCATATAAAGGAAAAAGACATAATTAATGATAAATAACAAAATTAGAATTATTACATGAAATTTTGAAGATGAATGGAATGAGGAAGATGATAAATAATATCATTTAAATTCTCCTTTTACATATTTTTTGTTTAAGATTCAAAATGTTATATCATACGCCTCAGTCACGGTTATGGCATCCTTGAAATATTTAAAAATTATATTATATTTCGATGATACACATCACTTGTCCCTGAGTGAAAATTGAAACGGTAAATTACGCAGTGGACAACTATGCGAGAAAGTGGATGTATTTCATTCTGCAGTTATTATGCTTTTCCGGTGTGTTGCCACCTCCTCACTTTTGAGTCACATTCAGTTCTCATCACCACAAGACGATTCTGGGCAGCACTCACATGGAACACACCCTCCTCGCTTAAGGAACATCATACACATGCTACGAGAATGTGTTAATCTTATTACATTATTTTCTAAAATTAATTAATTACATTAAAATGGCATACTCGATAAATTGAACTTATATTAAACATACATTAATGTAAGGCAAACTTACCGAGCTGGACTGCAACCATTTCGCATAACTTAATAGATCAACCAGATGGATGTATTTGTTACGCACCATATTGACAAGCTACTGCGAACAGATAAATTTATTATTATTGTACTAGTTTTGGTTTTCATGGCTTACATTTTGCATTTAATAAAACAAAAATCCATATAAATTTAATCTATATTTAAATTGGTACTATTTAAGTAACACATTTGTATTAATTTTGAATGACAAAAATAAACCTTTATTGTAGAATGAACAAAATTCAACAAAATTTAGGAAATGCTGATTGTAAACTTTATGTATTTGAGTACCACTCATTAAACATTGTTAGTTTTATACAAATATACTTTGTTCTAATTACTTTAAGAACTTGAATCAAATATATTAATCTAAGTACATTGAGATATTAAATAAAATACTTTTTTCTTTATCATTAGGCATAAATCAGGATGGAGGGTGCAACCAATAAGTCCAAGTATTACCACCCAATACATGTTTTTAAGATCTGAGCTAATGGCTTTTATTTTTAGTTGTAAGTTTGCAAAAACAACTTTTTTTACCATTTATTTTTCATTTCACTTACAGAAAAGAAAATTGAACACCTAAACACGAATGTTTTAAAGGACATAAATTTCTTATCCCCAAAACAACATTGGAAACTGCAGTAGCATGATTCTATTTTAAGTGATATTTTCAGTGAGGTGCTGTCTACTTTATATCGCAAATATACAACTATAAGTTTGTGTTTCCTATATTACTGTATTATATTTTTTCTTTCATTCTGTTTCTTAATTCTTTAAGAATTAACGTTGAAAAGTTTGAACCACCGGCTACTGTGGTATATTCAGCCAAGCACATCAATCAACCTACCGTACAACTCATTTTTATGTTAACATTCTCGACTTTGGATTGACATTCTAAGAAGTTAATCGCATTAACTTAACGCTTACTGTGAAATAAACTTGTCATCTATAAATTTCAACGACACTTAGTTAATTGGATAAATACAGCACTTGGGGAACTAACGGCGTGCCGGTCTTGTCTGGTTTCGTTCGCTGAGAACAATTCAAGCCAGACTGTGTTGGCCTCTTAGATTTAACTTTCATAAAATCATAAATAGCCTAATTATTTTATTTATTATAATGTGTAGTGGGGTAAAAAAGTACCTCTAATAAAATACCTAACAGATCATACAAACAAACAAAAAACAAGTGAAGATATAAACTACTATTATAAAAGAGTATCTTTTGTATTGAAAAGTACTTCTTAGAAGAAAGAACGAATAAATATACAATAATGGTTAAGGATTGGACACTGTTAAACCTTCTATTGTTTTTATGCAGAGGAACAGAAAAAGAAAAAATACATGAAAACCTAACAAAAACAGAATAGGTGTCTAATATAATTCCCACATTATTATAAAATTTAACACAAGGGATTTTTTTTAATTTGAAATAACAACTATGTTCTGAAAACGGAAGTTTTTAATGTTTACAAATCAAGATGTCTATATAAATATATATATACATATATATATCAACAATGAAAAAAAATATATATATATATATCAACAATATATATTATTTTAACAATCTTTAAAGCTAAGCTTATGTCACCTCTGCGACTGGCATAAAAAAAGACCTCAACTAGTTGCTGCTAGCGGTCAAGTTGCCGTCTACTTGCGACCACACAACTTCATCCAACTAGTTAGAACTAGTTGCGTAGAGGGCTTACGCCACTTTTGACTATAGATTGTCTACAACCAGAAGCCATACAACGCTACCATTACTGAATACAACGTTAGCGAGCGCAGTACGCGCACAGTTATCTATCTAGACTTACAAAGCTTATACTCTCACATGACCATTTAATCGCTCGTCAGTTTACTTTTTTGCAAAAAAAATAGAACACAGGCAACTGAAAGTAACTGGCGATTTTCAGTTGCTCCCGATGGCAAGGATCGCTCACAGTTGCTACCTAGCTTCCAAAGGTCAGTTGAGGTCAGTTAAAGTCGCAACATAAGCTTAGCTTAAAGGGCAATTACCATAGATTACGGTAAATTTCAACACTTGTTTAAGTTTTGTTTGGTGCCTATAATATATCTTTGTTGTTAAACTAGAATGTATAAATCTAAATTTTTGTATAAATATTTATAGCATTTTCATAGATAGTTATACATATTATCATCTGTATAACAACAGTTTATTTGATGCATTAAATTCCATTTGCACAATTGCAACTTCATCATTTTACACTCCACATAATATTCCTATCTGAGATTGAACGCGAATTTGTACGAGGTGGTATTCAATAAGTTTTGTGGCTTATGTACAAAATGTTAAACAAACATTTTTACTATTTTACTATCACACCATGTTGGGCTTGAGTGGGTCTTGATGCAATATGGCCCATGAGCATGTCTAAAGCTCCATGTGTAGTCCCAAATCACCACCAGAAGGACCTCACTGGAAATAAATGCTCAGCTTTTAAAATAAATCCAATTTAATCTTCTAGGTTTGTTTACATATATGCATCTCCTTCTCTTTATTGTAATACAAATCATTTATATATTTTTCTTCTTTATCTATCCCAATATTACATATTTTTTGTAATCAAACATTTCTACATAATCGTAGACATAGATAATAACGAGTGTTTGTGTGCCTAGCCTATCACATTCCTTCAATATACACTTTAAAGTATAATCATGAACACTGTTTATACTTTAGGCTGAGATCATACTAATAACATGTTATCATCATCAAAATATTGATATCGTTATTACTTGTTATATCACATTGCTATTATCATATTACAAATATTATTAATCATAATCTCATGCACACCAATTTGAATGCGTTTGAGGCTTAGTCATTTAATAAACAATAACAGTATCTTTTACTCTAGTTATCGTCACAACAAAAAATTGGGTTGTGAGAAAAAAGAACTTGTCCGAAGATTGAAAAGCGAGCAGCTTAACCAAGCTGTAGCTCCAAATCTAACATTGTAACATTATATTGTCCTTTTATATATTTATTAGTCATAAATATGGCATGAGTAGAATTTTTATAGGACACTAGAAATCAAATTGATTGATTGATTATGCATATATGGGCAAGATGATGTCAGATCACACCCATATATGAGCAAATCAAAGGTATTTATCACATAAAATTAATAGTGTGGACAACTTTCAGATAAAATGTTGATTACCAATTGTTACCAAAAGTTAGTAACATAATTGGAAACGTAAGTCTTTACTTCTGGGATTTGATTCTTTCCTTATCATTGTTATATATACTGTAGTAGCTTATGGTCTGTGTTTATGGCATCTCTTGTTAAACTAGCCAACTATAATGATTATCCCTACCAAACTAGTCGATATAATAGGCATACATTTTTTGATTTGATGAACTCCTATAACATTATGCGTATTATTATTACTTTATTACACATACTGCGCTCATAATGTTACTGCTTATTTCAACCCGGGTTCAAGGTTTGAAAAGAATTACCACTACTGAAGGTGAAAACCAAAATTGAGTGAACTGCAGCCTACGACAAAAAAAAAATATGATCAACTTGCCATTTAATCACATACACTAAAATCTGACGTACGACAAGCGAACCACCTAAAAACGAAAGATACATTAAGCACGTACATGTGCGTACGACAGAGACCGATGTTTTTGAATTGCACAAACGTTCGTCCTATAGCCTTCGCAAAAAACAGTAACAAACAGCGACAAACACATCAATTGAACATTAGCGCAGTTCACTATCACTATTCCCTTATAACATCATTTCAGATACAAGCCTGAGCCATGTTGTATTAAACACACTTAATGCGCATTTGTTTAATAATTTCGGCGGGAAAACAAGAATATATGTTGACCGGGGAGGGTTCAACGACATATGTAATGTAACCACAAGAGAGCCGTACTACATCGCCAACAGATTCTGCGGTTATTAAATTCGTTCTTGTTTTCTATCATACATCGTCATAATATGTTTGGGAAGCATTTAAGTTGTTAACATATTATTCACGTGGCGAGAAGAAGCCTAACAGACCACAAGATGTATCTTTTTTATCTTTAACCTTGCTTCAATGTAGGCCTACATGTATACCATGCTGAATTTCCATCATTCAAGAACCACAATTTATCACAATTGCTCCGTACTAAACAAATTATACTTGCGTTAAGGTTGCATTTATACTTCACTGCAATTGTATTAACAGTATCTATAGCCATTTTCTTTGCTCATTAGAGGTAATAATGATGTGGGGACACAAATGATCAGCTTTACGATAGATGGATCACCCTCTCTATATTTAAATAACTAAATAAATAAATTGCACACACACATAAGTAATAATAGTTTCCGATGCATATTGTGGTATATAAATATTAATCAAATCTATTTAATTAGATGATATAAAAATAATTTACCGTAATAGGAGCCAATAAAAAAAAAAGAATGTCACAGGCTAAATGGTACCTCTACCAGGTGTACTAATTTAAGCTTTTCTTTCTTGATTATGCTCATGGGTTGTTGATTTTCCCATAACTGAAACAATTATATGACTCTTAATTTACTATATGGCATGGAAGAGAGGAGGGAAGAACTTAAGAATAAATATACACTGAATATAGTTAATGTCAGCATTAATGTCAGATTCTGAAAGTGGGGGATGTATACATAATAAACATAACAATAACTTATTTAAAACATTGAAAAACTTTGAAGAGTGTTTACATACCAGGTTGTATGCTATATGGGACCAAAAATGAAAAAAGTAAACCAACAATGCTGTATGCGAACTAAAAATAGGTTTACATAAGATCTATTTGGCTTTACCCCTTTCTGCTATAAACATTACCTTTTATCAGCACCATCTTGCTCTGTGACCGAAATTGAACTTACTGGGAAAATTTTATCATGACCAAAAATGATATAAATTATGACCTTTAAAAAGTGCAGTACACTTTGGATTCATTTTCCCGCCAACTGATTGGGTTTACATAGAGGTTAAAAATATTATATAAGAAGACAAGCAATAACAAATAAAACTTGCATAATCATTTAACACCATGTTATCTTGAATGCTGCAAAGTATCGCAGTTATGCGAAAAACAAGGGAAAAAAATTGCTTAAATTTTTTTTAAATTCTGTTAATATTTTTAGAGTGTAAAAACAATCTGGGCCTTAAACACAACAAAAACATAACAGATTTATTATACTGTTTAAAATAAAATATATAAATGCCACCATTTTTATTTAAAAAAAACCAGAAAGGATATAATTCCACATGGAATCCGTGGACATTATTACGATAATCTGCCTAGAATTTGTGGTCACGTTTGAAAATGCTGGTTCATATGATGCCTATCACGATGATGCTAAGAATTGATTAGCATAAATATGGGTGAGTCTAAGGTCGTTAAATCTGACATGTCAAATACACACAAAAAATGACTGTTAACTGGCGTTCACTGAAACATGACAACACAACGAATCTGGAAAATAGATGGACGTGCAACGGCGGTAGCCATCTTAGAAATCACTAGCTCATGCTACATGTGCAAGAAACCTGCGATTTTTATACAAGATGCGGTCTTGTTTCACGATTATACTTCTTTAAATATTGATATTTTTTTGTGTATGAATATAGTTGAATTATTTTTTATAATCTATTATGAAATAAAGGTTTATATATAATGTGCAATAATATTGCGTACGATTACAATATACATACAAACGAAGATGAAGGAAACCTGCAAATTTACTTTGTTTAGATCTTCACCTTGTTCTCACTGTCTCCATTGTGTGACCATGTCCCATTGTGTGACCATGTCAAAATATAGGCCTGTCTCTGTAAACCTATAATAAAAGAGAAAGAATTTCTAGTCATTACGAAATGTAATTAACAAAAGTTGGTTAAATGTAGGGCAAAGGTGGCTAAGTTTGAAAATCCCCTTACTAAGTATTCAAGTTGTAACATTATAGTAAATTCACCAAATGTCTTTAACAGAATAATCTCGTGACAGATTTTCTCTGAACAAGCCTGTTAATGTGAAAGCCATACAGTATATAAAGAAGTTTTTTTGACTTTCAGAGCAGAAATTTGTTGTTTCAGGTAATACAATATATAGTCTTCGCAATAATTTAAAGGATGTATTTAAAATTGTTGACAGGACTGATGTATATGATGATATCACGTAAATACATGCGAATAAAGAAAATAAATGTATCATAATAATATCCGTACCTTTAACGATCAATGCAAACAAATAAATAAGTATTTTATCTTCCAAGAAACTTGATTTTCTACCAATATTAAGTGGAGATATTGAAAATCGCAGTATACTAAGAATACCACACACGTAGCCTTCACATTTTAAAAAATGCTAATGAGATACACAGCGATTGACGAACGTACATGTGTCAGTCTTCATAAAATCACTATACCTTGATAAAGATTAAAAGACCTTCGTGTCAAATGCTCATGTCAAACGTATGTTGTATTTTGAAACATCAGGCAATGGTATACAGGAATACCAATCCAAACTACAATCCTCCTTATTTAATAGTAATTGAAGAAGGGGATAAGGGATTAAGAACTAAATGTATACCATTGTATTCATTGCCTACTCTCTCTCTCTCCTCACCCCCAACCTTTTTTTAAAATCTAGTTATCAATCAATTTTAACTTTCATATTGAATATTGTTTAATGATAAACTTGACCTACAAAATATTTTCAGCACAAAATTGATATTTTATGTTTAATGAATTATTTGTTCTCCTTCATTTTTTCCTTCCCCTTCCAATATTTTCCCTTCCCATTTCAATATTTTCCCTTTCAATATTCAATATATATTCAATATTATACCATTGCAAACAAATTTAGATTCTATAACCCCATCCCCCCACCAAAAAAATAATTTAAATAAATAAATTAAAATAAAAAAATACAAAAAGATGTCTGGGACAAAATAATTGGTATACAAAATTTTGTTTATTCGGTGAAACATTTTGGGCCTATTTGCTTTGGTAATACAAATAGCAGATATTTTTTCTAAGGCTTATTTAAGTATGTAGTACTACTGTATGTATACACATCTAGATGTGTATAAGAGACAGGGTGAGTCTAAGGTCGTTAAATCT